AGTTAAATGGTTACTGTGTAAGAATGACAATGGATATTATAAAGAATGAATAATAAATTGTAAGGTCAAATGTACAAACAAATATTGCGCTTTTTTAGCGTGGGTACTTTAAAGTTTAAAACATATTTTTGGCGTATCTATAGCACGGTAATAATCATGATAATATATATATTTTTTAGGGGGGAAAATCATCGAATGACTTCTTCGCCTGGGTGCGGCGGGAGGGAGTGTCAAACTCTTACTGACTAAAAACACCTCGTTCCTACTCCTGCACTTCGAGCCGGAGCCCCGGTAACCCGTTAAGTTCTCTGCGGCTCCGAATCGGCATTAGCCCTATTTTGCCCCATCTGTGGTGGTGGTCTGATGGCTCTTTAAGGCGCGCGCGGAACGCGACACGCCGTACGCTCGGGCATTGATCCACCCCTTCTCGCCGTCCGCAGGCCCGCGCTTATGGTGGCCGGAGATCGTAATCGTGATAATATTACCGTCTCTATAGTCACTGGATCGGACGAATTAATTTAATTATATTCATACTTATAATTATTAAGTAATCTAAATATTACACCTTTCGTCAGACGTAATAAAATGTTTTTATAATAACTATCGTGAGACACAAAAGTAACTAAAAATTGCGGCTTTGTTGCGCTAGAGTAGGTAGGCTGCGTGACATCACCGCGACCACGCCTGCTGCTTATAAGGAAGAACGCCTCTGTGGTTCGAAACTAGCATAGCTCTTCTCAGTATATTCACGTGAGTAACCCGCGATTTTTAGTTAATTCGTTATAAAATGAGAGAGAAAATTTTCGGCTTTACCTCGTAATTATTTGACGAGGAACCGAGTAGTTTAAAGCCACCCCAGGGGTTCATATTCATGAGCAGCATTCCGTGACGTACGATGCGGCGAGTGTCGCGCAGCTACTGGCTACTTGATACTTTAAAACATTGTCCCCTACTTTCTCTATCAAGTACAGATGGTACAGATGTATGTAAGACTATTAAAGATCAGGAAAAACACGCACGTCATGTGTTTACTTGAAAAAGTCGGAAACTGCAGTGTTTGATGTTTTATGGGCATCAGTTTCATTGTTTACCGCTGTAAGCCATTGTTTGTGCTACAAGAAGACTCTTGTTATTAGCACACTTTCACATCATTGCAACTCAAACAGAATCGATGAAGATCAACCACATTATATTTGAGAAACATAACATAACATCACGCCTTTATGTCCCCGAAAGGGTAGGAAGAGGTGCATATTACGGCACTTATGCCACTGTGCATTTTTTTATATTTGATGGGCCGACGTTTGACCACTATCTCGCCTGGTGGTAAGTGATGATGCGGTCTACGATGAAGCACGTCGTCCCATAAGCAACCTATTCACTCGGGCCTTGAAGACTCCCAGGTACCCTTCAGGAAATACAGATTCTGGTAAAGAATTCCACTCTTTAGCAGTACGCATAAGGAAGCTTGAAGCGAAGCGCTTCGTGCGTTATAATTATTAATTTATGTTATGAGTCCCATGTAATACTTAGAGGGTGATTAGTGAAACGACTGTACAACCTCCAAATTAATAACGGATCTTAAGTAAATTAATGATTTTCTTTTCGGTTCACTCACGTGACTGTTTGACGAGGGACTCGACTAGCCAAGCCACTTCAGGGGCTCATATTCATGATCAGTATTCCGTGACACACGAATGCCGCTCACGCAACTATAGTATGTCTCACGAAAGTTATAACATAAATGATCTTATGTTATTCAGAATCTCTGCATCGACCTGAGTTTTTGACAGAAATTTTATGAACTCACTCAAAGATCGAATTGGAATTGGTTACTAATTTAAGCCGTTTTCTGTGAGACAACCATTTTTATAAACGTTGCCTCATACTAGTTAGGATAATATCCTGTGTCGTGGGTACGTTAACAAACATATAAGTTCACATACAAAACACGCCCAGACTCGGAACAACAATCTGTTGATCCACAGATTGTTGTTCCGTGCGGAATTCGAACCCGTGACACGTTACGCGGCAGACGGTTGCCCAGCCGCACTTACCCCGCAGTCTTTGTCAATTATTAAACTTTATGTTTTATTTTGAGTACAACAATAGTCTACTCCTGAACTATGAGCCTCTACATGAAAGAGGTAGTCTCCATGGTAGCGGACGGGTTGGAAACCGCAGTTTAAGCAGTTCAGGTTCATTCTATTAAAAGTTAAATCCCTAAATCAGGTCTTATGACATCTGAGCAAGGAGTAGGGGAATTGACAAAATATTATTATGTTCTGCGTGTTTTACCGTATAGATAATGTCTTCTATCATTGGCTCATATTTTTATGTTTTTCTACAAAACCCACCAACGACCAACATGCGTCCAACTCTAATTATCCACGTGCATTCCTAGGTAAATATGATAATTTGCCAACAATGCTATTGCTACCGTCACTGGCTGTAAACTGTCGGGAATTATCGTTTACTGAATTACGTTTAATCGTCCGACCTTCGTTCATTAATGAACGGTCATCATCCAGTACTTGATCACGTTTCCTGCAGCCATGTATGGTGCTCTGTACAAATATGTTTAGGCATATTGTCTCGTCATGGTGATGAGTGCTAAACAATAGGAAAATAATTAACTTCAATCTTATTGTGCATATACATAATGTACCTATATTTATTTAGGTATCTATTGAAACCTTATATTCATGGAAGGGAAACGATATTTAATACTTGATCGCCATCTTACTCAGCAAGTCGGCAGCCGTAAACACAACCAATAGATGCTCGGAATTAGAAATTTTATTAATGTTGATTAGCAAGGAAAACAATAATAAAACAAAACATTTAGACTAACCCTTTCACTTCGTATTTTACGAACAAAAATCTTACGAATTAGAGCCCATATTTCGGCATGAATGGGTCGGTTCCACCAAAGTAATACAACCTCACAGGAAACCAGCATGAAACAATGCATGCGTTGTTTCGCCGTCACCCACAACTGAGTTTACCTGAGCGCGGACACCCAATTCCTCTTCCCAAAAGACCGGCAATGCACTTGTAAGTGTAACTGCTCTGTTGCTACCAAGGTCAGCGCTGTCCGTTCACCATTAAGTGAACCTTTAGTCTACTCGTCTGCCCTAAAAGCCTAAAGCCTCCCACTAAACTCTGCAGTGTTACATGAACATTAAACGTAAACACATGTAGTTTAAAGATGTGATGTAACTGTTCACTTGTAAATGACTAAGTACCTTTAGTAAACTAATGTTGCACCTTGCAACACTGAGGTGCAAGTTATACATCCGTTGTAAGTGGACGTTAAAATACCAAATGATAATTTTAGTGTGGCAATTTAGGATGGATGGCGTAGACAAATATAGACAAACAAATGACCGACAGACATACAACAGCACCGGTATGCAATAGTGTAGTCATTTCCGAAAATTTCATCAGTGTCGAAAGATCCGGAGCCGCGGATCGAAAGCTGGAGTAGGAACGGGGTGGTATTTATTCAGTAAGAGTCTAACACTCCCTCTTACCTTACCTTACCTCACTCACCCAAGTCGGGAGAAGCTATTTTGATGATAAAAAGATGGAATATAGAATTCCAGAAATATTTTGTTTTATCAAGTAGCTTTTAAATTATATCTGATGTATGGTAGTAGTTTATTTCTTCTAACATCTGTAACATAATATCGCTATAATGACGCATAATATCATAACTCTTTAATGGATCAGCTCCCACTCTTCCAGCCAAAATCTAATGCAAATTTTTACCTCTTAAGTTGTTGCGGTAAAGCAAAACTTATTTTCCTGTATTTATTATTATGTTAATCTCCATATACATATAAAGTCTTAGTCACTGTAGTCTCAGTAGTTACTGATGCATGTATTCCAGGTAAAATGATAACTGCAAGAGGAAAAGATCTCGATTGATTGTACAGATTGTACCTACTAAGTTTTTTCTATTAGATCATTCCACTATTCTAAAGGATAGTTTACGAAGCATTTATAATGAATATCTTATCTAAAACGTAAACAAATAGAAACTATATGTCTATGTCTATGTAAGTACATTAACAGAGAATGAGTAACGTAAACGTCCTGTGATAACGGTTTGATAATGGTTATCAGACCTCCCACGCGACTAACCTTTGGTCTTGCATCCTTGCATTATCTATACCGTATAGTTCAACTTTTAGGTTGCATCTGCTGCAGAGTATTTCACATTGTATTTAATCACTGCACGGCTGGCGTGGTGGCTGGGCAACTCGCTGCCGCGTTGCGTGTCGCGGGTTCGATTACCGCACGAAGCAACTCTTTGTATTGTCCACATATTGTTGTTTCGGGTCTGGGTGTGATGCACCCATGACACAGGAGAAAGTCCTAGTGTGCCCAAAGGTTTGTTTTAAAAATGCATTCGTTAATATTGGATTTTTCCTAAAATTGTTTCAACAACAATATGGGCTCTGGAATTTGGCTGTTCCTACCTCCATGGCAAGAGGCTTCGATTTTGGGACATAAGTGAGGAAAAGCTTTAGTATCTACTAGCGACCCGCCCCGGCTTCGCACGGGTGCAATATAAATGTGTTATACATATATACCTGCCTTAAGAATCACTCTATCTATTAAAAAAAACCGCATCAAAATCCGTTGCGTAGTTTTAAAGATCTAAGCATACATAGGGACAGACAGACTGCGGATATCGACTTTGTTTTATACTATGCAGTGATTTCGCTACTCGACTGAAATACTGGCGCAGTGTGACCAAGGCATTACAAGGAAAATATTCAAAGGAGTATTTAAGGATAACAATCAAAGAAATCTTTCTTTGTTTATTAAAGAATGTCCTCCTAAACTTTTGTTAAATTTGACGCAAGTTCAAGTGGCTGAATGAATCAGATTTGTTTGAATGTTTTCCTCTTTCCTCTTCCCTAAATCTTTATTTAGGAAAGTGGTCATTGACGTCATACATAATAAAAATACATTATTTTTTGTTCCAGAAATAAGCTCAAGGATGCAGTGGAAATCCCCCTGCTGACGAGATGCTGCTTCTGTTTTCCTTTACGAAAGGGCTTGATAGCCTTTGCTTATGTCAACTTGGTAAATATATTATCTAAATATATCATTGCTTTTGACTGCCTCGTTGGCTGAGTGGTCGCAAGTGTGGCTGCCCGGCCAGGGGTCTCGTGTCCGATTCCCGGGTCGGGCAAAGTATTACTGCGTTTTTTTAACAAATTATCAGTTGTAGCACGGAGTTTGGAATTGTGCCCGGTATATGGCAATAGGCTCACCCCCTATTACATGGGACTTATTACATATATAATGAAAAGTGAATGTTATATTGTGCAGTGGCATTAAATGCAGTAAAGTATCTCTGCCTACCCCTTCGGGGATAAAAAGCGTGACGTTATGGTGTTATGTATATGCTTTTAAATGTGTGCAGTTTAATTCACATCATAAAATTAATGATGTCGTCGCCCTTGCTGTGAGGTCAGTTAGATCAATTAGCGACAGCGAACAAGGGCACAACTATAATCTGCCTTCAAACTTTCGAAAGAGGCGCTCACTTTTTGATTATGCATAAAATTGTTATACTTTTCATAAACATAACTTCACGCCTTTTATCCCCGAAGGGGTAGGCAGAGGTGCACATTACGGCTCTTAATGCCACTGTACAATGTAACACAGACTTTTCACTATTTATGTTACGAGTCCTATGTAATAGGGGGTTAACCTTTTGCCATATACCGGGCACAATTGCAGACTCCGTGCTACTACTGAGAATTTTTTAAAAACCCAGTAATACTTTGCCCGACCCGGGAATCGAACCCAAGACCCCTTGCCCGGCAGTCGCACTTGCGACCACTCGGCCAACGAGGCAGTCCATTACAATACCTCCCTGACTAACGAGCATTTGCGTGTAATGTAACATATTGATTCGACTTTGACATTACATTACATTAATACCTCCCTGACTAACGAGCATTTGCGTGTAATGTAACATATTGATTCGACTTTGACATTACATTACATTAATACCTCCCTGACTAACGAGCATTTGCGTGTAATGTAAAATATTGATTCGACTTTGACATTACATTACATTAATACCTCCCTGACTAACGAGCATTTGCGTGTAATGTAACATATTGATTCGACTTTGACATTACATTACATTAATACCTCCCTGACTAACGAGCATTTGCGTGTAATGTAACATATTGATTCGACTTTGACATTACATTACATTAATACCTCCCTGACTAACGAGCATTTGCGTGTAATGTAACATATTGATTCGACTTTGACATTACATTACATTAATACCTCCCTGACTAACGAGCATTTGCCTGTAATGTAACATATTGATTCGACTTTGAGGATTTCATAGCAAGATGTTGACGAAGCGTTGTTACAAGTTGTATCAAGATATTATACATTGTATCATTACAAGGTGCGCACTGTCATGCCCGGTTCTCCTCCTTCACTGATGTAATGCTTTAGTTTTTGTTTATTACATTTCATTGAACTAATTTGTAATATGGAGATGTGCAACTATGTATTTACAAAATATACTTTCAATTCCAGACTTTAACGGTGATAGTGACATGTTTCCTATCGCTGTACATATCATACATCCGCAACGCTTCGGAGGTGGAGCAGCTAACGCTAGCGTCAGAGTACGCGAGACTCATCACAGATGTAGTAGCCTTGTTGATAGAGCTCCTCATGGCGGTCACTTTCATCATCGCTTTACACAGGGTAAGTTTACAACACATTTAAATAATTCCCGGAGTTTAAGGGCTCCTGTACACGACGTACCACTGCCGCGTGGTTGGTACACAACATCGCGGCGTCGCCGTCGTTTGAAACTAGCCTTTATGTGTATATATAATGTCACATCAGAACTCCAATAGTTGTGTTAGAAGACCCATATCGTAGAAGGTGAGTTTTGCTTTTATACTAGGGATAATTCCAGAATCCATGTTACTTCTGTTACAAAGGCTTTTTATAGCCAATCTCGATAATACTTTTCCTTATCCATGGTCAAATACATAATCAAAAACCGTCTTTCATTTTTATTTGTTTATAAGTCATTCAGTGTGACGAATCTCAATTTTTTTTTATATCATAAGCCGGTAATCGAGCAGACGGATCAACTGATACTAAGCAATTGGCGCCGCCCATGGACACTCGAAACACCAAGGCGTTACAAGGGCGTTAGGAATTTGAGGATTGTGTAGAATTCGGGGATTCGGGAGACGGGGACTAGGGAGGGGGGTAATTGGGCCTCCAGTAACCTTACTCACACGACGAAACACAATGCAAGCGTTGTTTCACGTCGGTTTTCTGTGAGGCCGTGGTATCACTCCGGTCGAGCCGGCCCTTTCGTGCCGAAGCATGGCTCTCCCACACTTAAAATTGTACAAAGATTAAGATTTTCACTAACACAAAGCCAGTTGCCAAGCCCAAAGGCAGGGCAAGTCAAAAAATTTTACTTTCCATTTACTTATACCATAATAATATACTCCTATAGCGACTATAATTTCTAACTGTCCAAATTATATGTTTCAGAAACACGTGCTGCTGATGAAGGTGTACCTGTATTTTGAGATCGTGTATTCAATATTCGGCTTCGTGTACAGTATAGCCTTCCTCACCAAGGAGACGGCCAGCGAACTCTTCCTGGAGCTGTTCCAACTAAGTAAGTCGTTGTTTGGTCGCTTTCATTCACTGATCCGCTGGGTTTTCGACCTTAGGAATGCAAACGAGGCGCCAAAGCAAATTCGCAGAGGCTCGTTGAACAATTTTAAGCTAAGTGAAACAAATAACTGCCTCCTTGGCCGACTGGTTGTAAGCGCTACTGCTGGACAAGAGGTGTCGGGTTCGATTCCAGAGCCGGGCAAAGTATAACTGGGTTTAAAAAAAATTCTTAGTAGTAGCACGGGGTCTGAAATTGTGGCCGGTATATGGCAATAGGCTCACCCCCAATTCATGGGACTCATGACATAAATTGTACAAAGTGGTTGTTACATTCTACAGTGATATTACCTAAGTGCCGCAACGTGCACCTCTGCCTACCCTTTCGGGGGTAAAAAGAAAAAGAGTGATTATCAACACTTGGATTATATTATTATTGCCATAATTGACATTATTGGTGTACCTTGCAATTGTGATTGTGATTTCTATGTATTCATTATCGCATTTTGTTAAATAATAGGTATACTTGTCCTTTGTTTTGCTAAATAAATTATTCTTATTCTTCTTATTGATATAACAGTCCAGTCTATGTCTGGTCCCAGTCGATGTCCCTACAACTAAAACTATATTAACCGATAACACTTAAACTAATAATTTGAATGTTAACTATCAACTATTATCATGATTGAGTGTCTATTTTAGCTTAGAATTAACTCGTTTTTTTTTATTCCAGTGCTCCAAGTGTACCTGGTGATCCTAATCAGGAGTTCAATAGTGAAGATGGAGAGAGACGGCTCAGTGAAATACTCACGGGAATCAGACCACGCCTAGTTGTAAATATAAACGTCTATTTTAGAAAAATAAATATTGGCCTGATTCACTACCATCGTGTGACCGCTTGGAGTTTGGCGGAACGGCGCGTTGACATAACGCACGGTCACCGGTGACCGCTTGGATTTATACGAGAATCATCCCCTAAATTTGTTCATACAAAAGTAGTCTCTAAACATTTGAAACTAGCTTTTACCCGCGGCTTTGCTCGCGTCACAAAAGGATAAAGTTAGCCTATGTGACATATACCAATACACACAGCACCATCTATTTTTTTTTTAAACGTTGCTTCACACTAGGATTATCTCCTGTGTCGTGGGTGCGTTTACAAACATACAAGTTCACATACACAATGACACCCAGACCCGAAACAACAACTTGTGGATCACACAAAGTGTTGTTCCGTGCGGGAATCGAACCCGCGACACGATGCACGACAGCCGGTTGCCCAGCCACCGCACCAACCGTGCAGTCATCTATACCAATTCTTTTCCCTCGGGAAAATCAAATATTTCCGGGATAAAAAGTACCCTATTATTTAATCCGGACTTCTAATTTAACGTCTGCAAAAATTTAAAGCAATCGATTACGGCAAGTCACGGCGTGAAAGCGGAACAAACAAACAAACAAACAAACTCACTTTCCTATAAAAATTATATTCCCGAGGGAATGAAAGTATTAGTATAGATGGCGTTGTGTGTATTGGTATATGTCACATAAACTACTTTTTATCCTTTTGTGACCCTAGCGAAGCCGCGGACAAAAGCTAGTATGTATATAAACGTAGCAACTTAGGCAATTTATTCAATTAATTCAGTAATTTTGCATGCCGTAAGGCAAAATGTACCGGGACTCTCCAGCTTTAAAATTAAAATAAGATATAAAATGTAGATTTTTGTAAGTGCAAAAAAATGTTCGCGCAGGTAGGTTTACATGGATATAATGGCAAGATAATAAATGCCTACTGCCAGAGACGTATTATCTCTAAATGCCGCGTATAACAAGGTATAAGGAAAATTAGGCAAGTGCCAAGCACGCCAGTGCCTTTAGCCAAACGCCACTTTAGCGCTTGTCTAGCGAGAGAGTAGAAAACTAAATGATGATGACACTGAAAAGTTTCAAAATTTACGTCATTAAATATAATTTGGTTTTCTATTCTACATGTAGACAAGCGCTAAATGGCATTTGGCTACAGCTGTAGGTTACATAGGGGCGCTCGCGAGACGCGCGTGATCATAAAGTAGCTAAAAATTAAGGGCGCCTATGAGGTACTTGTCTAGGGCGCTCTGTAAAAATGGGCTAGATAATTTTATTATACATATAAACAAATGAAATATTTCGCATATGCTATAAAGATGTAAATATTTTGTAAGCAGATCTTTTAGGAAATATTGTATTACCAACATATCAATCTATTATGTATATTTGTTAGTATATCATTGGTATAATTAGTATTAATTAGATATGTTACCTTTATTATAATAACTAGCTTTTACCCGCGGTTTCGATAATGTGTTAAAAGCAAAAAATCCTTAATTACCTGTCCGCTTACTATATATGTATATACAGAAAAGTGTACCTGATTAGTACTTCACAAATTGGCTTTAGACAGGTATTTGTGTTTTGACACATGCTTAAAAGATTTCTTTGAAAAGTTAAATAAATTTAGGCATTTATTTACATGGGAAACCAACAGCTATAACTGGGTAACTAAAAATACTTGAGAATTGACATATCTACAGTAGTATATTTACGTGAGTTTTTAGTTAACGTATTTTTAGAATTTGTATATATTATTAATGCCTTGTGAAAATAAACTACTGTAATTTCAAATTATGAACTTACATTAAAGCAAAATACTATTCTAAATAAAATATTTATTGTAATAATATGTTTATATTAAAAGTATCTAATATGAAAATATGTAAAAAGTAGTGAATCATGAACGCATCGTTAATTACTTTTTGAACAAAATAAATGAGGGTGCATCTGTTCATAAGGTCGGGAACTCTAGGTATTTATTGTATATATTATATTGGCTTAAAAATAAAATTAAGTATATTTTTTAAGATGTGACTTTGTCAATATACACTCATGATATTTTTTTCAATGATATTTCTGAAAAATATCGATTTGTCATTTGTAAAAAATGAAAATATATTTTTGTATATGATGAACATTCAAGTTGTTACTTATGAAGAATAAAAAATAAAAAAATGTATAAAATTAATAAATCTTTTATTTCTAAAGTACTTAAGATTACATGTATTTAGCTTTTGGCGTTAAATATATTTACAAGGACCACAAACATTGATAAGAATTATTCGTTGCAATTACTGCAACAGAAAAAACATTTAAATCACATTTAGGTGCCTAAATATATATATCATTCTTATAAATACTGTCAAAAAATCTTAATTAGTTAGTCATAATTACTAATTACTTAACTGATCACAACATGTTAGGGTATATGATTGAATTTCTTTAATCCTATTATTACCCTGTGACTACACTTTTTCACGCAATGTTACATTGCTTTAACAATTTCTTTAAAAATTCGACTATTCCTCTAAACGCCTGAACATTTTAAATAGCAACGTTACGCAGCGCTGTGCCATGTATCCGTGTTGAGTAATGTCCGCAGGCGCTCAATTTTCTCCTCTTCTAATTGCAAGTAGAAACTTCCAACCAGAGTCAACATGTAGATTCGGAAGACTGAAAAAAGATTGATAATAATTAATTTATTGATATTTTCAATATTATAGACAAAATTCTTACTTACGACCACTCGGCAACTGCCTCGTTGGCCGAGTGGTCGTAAGTGCGACTGCCGGACAAGGGGTCTCGGGTTCGATTCCCGGGTCGGGCAAAGTATTACTAGGTTTTTAAATATTCTCAGTAGTAGCACGGAGTCTGGAATTGTGCCCGGTATATGGCAATAGGCTCACCCCCTATTACATGGGACTCATAACATAAATAGTGAAAAGTGGGTGTTACATTGTACAGTGGTATAATGTGCACCTTTGCCTACCCCTTCGGGGATAAAAAGGCGTGATGTTATGTTATGTTATGTTAGACAAAATTCCTATATTGTGCGAGTGAGTAGGGATTATAATAGATTGTGCAAGGATTTAGGACTTGATCCATTTACCACAAGCAGTTCCAGGGTGCGTAGGCGACTAAACCTAAAATTTTTTGAATGACTATCCATCTTTTATACTTTTATGTGCATTGCATTCGCAAAACCTCTGTATAGATATACTGTAGCTACGCGTGGAAACCTATAATTGGCTTTGTATTAGCATATTCTGAAATTTTATTATTTGTTATATAGCTGTTGGTTATCCGAATTAAAATAAATAAATATGTTTAACGCAAAACCTATCTAATTGTGATTCGAAGATATTCAAAAAAGGCCCATCACATCACAGTAATATTGGTAGATAATTATCTAATTGTGAACCCCTTTTCGTTTTTGATTATTCCACACAGTGTGACGTGTAGATATTTGATTTTGTATGTACTTACGCATCGATAACACTGACGAAAATTCTAATGAAGATCAATATATAGAACCCTTTATTTAATTCATCAGTGCTTATTCCATTGATGTGATACATCCTATGCTAATAATAATTTATATATGTATATTAAGATACTCACGGAGTGCAAGGAATGCCACCAAGTATGACACCAATAGTCCAGGTTCCACGTCCAGTCTGTTGAAGACCATCATGAGGACTGTGCAGAAGACGATCAGGAATAGGTTGCCTAACACCAGGCAAGACGTCCACACCAACCAGGGCTTCATGAGGTAAGACTTTTCCTGGAAAATTAACAAAATGACAATAATATCATAGTCATCTATGTATGTACCTGATGATACTCGTTATTTGTGTTCTTAATATTTAAAAAGTCATTATTATTGTTACTATTTGGAAGAAGACTTAAATTACTATCAAAGCAAAAACATTTAGTTATTATATTATGAGTCTTATGGGTACCTAACATTTAATTGATTTTTCACATCTGATCAAAAAAGCGAATGAATAAGGAAAAAAGAAATGACATATAATATGTTTGGAACAGGGATTTTTTTAGGGTGGGGCGGGGATTCTTTCTGACTAAAAACCACAGCGTTCCTGGTCCTGCCCTTCGAGCCGGAGCCCCGGTAACCCGTTAGGTTCTCCGCGCCAGTAACCCATTAGTTTCTCCGCGGCTTCGGATAGATAGTCTAGAATAACACATAGGCTTTTACGCTTTTTATCTTATAGCAACGCGGGCGAAGACACGGGCAGAAGCTAATAAAAAAATAAAAAAAAAAGACAATTTACCTTCAAGACTCCAACCAGCATGATGGTGGTTAGTATGAGAGTCACAATATGGCAGACGATGACTGCTACTTCAAAGCAGTAGAGGAGGATATTGTCTAGATTACTGGTATCTATTGACGTCGGGATCTCTTTGTCGAGCGACGCCAGACATTGTGCTAGTGCTAGAATTGTGTATAGCTGTAAAATAAAAATTAAATTATTAACTTTAATATACACATAACAATGAATAATGGTACATTAGGCTAACATACCACCAGTCAATAGTATAGTAATCCAGGTAGTAAATATAAATAATTATTGAGATTGGCAGGCTTTAATTTGCCTAGATATTTAACTTTACATTTACAGACAGACTGGCAAACATAACAATTTAATCTTTATTAAAGACGGAGTGGGGACAATTACTTCCGAAAGTGATTTCAATAACAATCAAAATATTATCACACGTTTCCATTCTAAGGGACTGAACAGTAAACCCATCCCTATTTTATTTTAGTTTTGGTCATGATCGTCCCACTGTACGGCAAAGGCCTCCCGACCCTCCTTCCATGTAGCTTTTTGTAGCTAGTCTCTTCTTATAGCTTTCTGTGGCCAATCCTTGGCATTTTTTTTTTTTTTTTTTTTTTTAAGGGGGGAAAATCATCGAATGACTGCTCCCGCCTGGGTGAGGCGGAAGGGAGTGTCAGACTCTTACTGACTAAAAACCACCCCGTTCCTTCTCCTGCACGTCGAGCCGGAGCCCCGGTTACCCGTTAGGTTCTCCGCGACTCCGAATCGGCATCGGCCCTATTGGGCCCCATCTGTGGTGGTCTGATGGCTCTTTGAGGCGCGCGCGGAACGCGACGCGCCGTACGCTCGGGTCTGTTTCTGGTCGGACGGGGAGCCACCCATGCTCGCCGTCCGCAGGCCCGCGCTTACGGTGGCCGGAGATCGTCCCGCGATCCCCGACGCCCGGTGTGTCCTTCGCGATGGCTGGGTTGCGAGGAGGCAGCGCTTCGCTGCCTCACGCGTCCCGCCTCCTCCTTAGCTAGCATGACTGCTTCGCAAAAGGAGGAGACGGCATCCCAGTCCCCCTCGCTCCGCATCATGGCCTGCACTAGGCCCGGACGCGAGAGGTCGCCATCGCCGATCACTTCCCTGAGGGCACGGCGGTGCTCAGCCCACGCAGGGCATTCTCCCACTGTGTGTTCCACCGTGTCCTCAGGGCGGTCCTCGCAGTGATCCTTGGCATAGGCGTCAAGTTCATACCACCACTGCTCTAAATTAATTAAAATTACTACATATGAACAATTCAATAAAGCAATACTTACAATAGTGACTAGAGCTGAGAATATGCACCCAAATCTAAGTGATAAGCATCCGAAATCCTTCTGCCTCGGCATGTTTTCGAAGGAAAGTGATACAGCTGAAAAATATGAAAAAATCGATTATTTATTTATTACAGAATACAGTTAAGAGGCGGCACTGTTGTGTGTAATTTATTACTTTAAGTCTCTGTATTCTCATCTGTATTTCTTTATACATATATGTATACTTAATATACAAAGTTGCATAGTTGATTTGTTTGAACACGCTAGTCACCGAACTCCTACTTCGTCGGATTGAATAATTATTTTTGTGTTGCATAGCCCACGGTATTGACAGAAGGCTATAGGCTATGAAACATCACGATCAATAGGAGCGGAGCAGCGGATGAAGCTGGGCCGTAACAGTCAGTTATGGCCCTTAGAAATAATACCTTACATCTTACTGCCTACTTAATAATAACAACCTACATAATTTTTGCAATTCGCCGTGTTATTGTATCGATTGATGGTTAATACATAATGTACAACAACGAATGCTTATCAGTTGACCATATCGGCTGATAACTGATAAGTAAATCTCTAACTACATTATCATAATGATAGGTATCGATATTTACGACCTTTTAGTCCTTGTAATGTTCGATATATTATATTTTTTGTTGTCATATATGAATCGACGAGTAATCAGCATGCACTATAGTTTTCTTTTTCTCCTCTTATAATATCTTCTGATTCACTTCGTTGCGGGAACCAAGACAGTTGTTCATGTCCGTGGAACGCGCCGGACTTCAGTGTTCCGGTGTTTTCATGGTTATATCTACTGTAGATCCTGGCTTACAGGAGTTGCAGCGGTTTTGGGAGGAAAAAATGCACTATAGAGTATAAGCCTTTTTTGACGAGAAGATTTTCACCACTGATGCTTTTAGGCATCGAATGAGATAGTTTAGATTGTTAGATGGTGAGAAGAACATACTTGGGATAAACATCAATACCATGCTTGCTTAAGGCAAATCGGTGATTTCAGTTTATAGAGATATAAGTGTTAAACACTTATTAAATTACAGATTAAAACTTATCACAGGGACAAATTACGACTTCATTGATTTTAAAGGAATTCTTTTATCTCTCTTTTTATAAATTTATATTAGTTGGTGGTAAAACTGGAAGTGTATCTCTACTCGCTACGTCTTAAGGCGACGTTTAAAAAGTTAACTGCATCTTAAGAGGTACTTTAAAACGCAGATAAATAATCAAGACAAAATTCACATTAACTATATAAAAACCATACTCCTTTACTTCACAGTATCCTGTTTGGTAGTTTGTTTATTCACATGGTCAATAGCCGTCATCACTAGCAACTCATATGAACGTAAATAGTGTGGGAATACACATCTTGTATATCTATGTACCGATGCTAGATACGGGCACGAATAGATATAAATAAAGCTGCTAAATTGTTGGACTGAACGTGAGAGATAAAAATAATGAATATTTTGTTATTCATAGATTTCCTAACTCACTATAATACATATATATTTCATCCAATGACTTCTCCCGCCTCCTTCTCCCGCCCGGGTGCGACAAGAGGGAGTGTCAGACTCTTACATCTTACTGACTTAAAACAACCGCGTTCCTACTCCTGCACTTCGAGCCGGAGCCCCGGCAACCCGTTATGCCCTCGGCGGCTCCGTATCGGCATTAGTTCTATTGGAACCCATCTGTGAGATGTGGTCTGATGGCTCCTAGATACGCAAGCGGAACGCAACGCGCCGTATGCTAGGGTATAGATGTATTAACACTGTTCAGTGCCTTAACTAGCTATAAGGAGTTCAATTCCTCCAAGTAACAATTATTTTGTGTGTTGTTCTGAGTCTGTGTGTTCTATACTTATTTGTTTATATTTATGACTGAACATATATAACACAGAAGACATAAAGACGTTAACAAAAATACTTTCGTAAGAGAGACATCGCTTTGTTGCAAAACTGCAATTGAACGTAACTTATTTACTAGGCGCTTCTCCTATTTTAATACAATAGATTAGGTACTACATATTTTTCTACGTGTAGCGAAGAATCATAAAATCAAAATTAAAGTTATGTTTGAGTAAGTAAGCTCATGGCGATTCTTTATATATCACCTAAACGACTATTCCTACAATCATTAATATTAAATATCTGAAACCTTACGATAATGTATCTATGTACATTCAAAAATCCTGACAGACTCACCTCAAGTTCTAACAGAAACAAGAAAAAACAACACCAAACACTGAATTAAAACAAAACAACTAAACAGCATCAAAATCCTTGCATCCGTTTACCTAGTAGTTTACACAAACACACAAACCAAACTCATACAGAGACTTAATAAAAACACTAAACTAAAAATGAACAATACTTACGATTTAACCTCATTTTAAATAACACACAAACACTTCACTTTTTAAACAATAAATATTGCAAAGATGGAAATAGTGATCACAGAATATGACCGGCTCGTTCGCCTAAACACAGTGAACTGATATTATGGTATCAGTAGCCGATAAGAGCCTCTTTATCAGCCAGTATCGTTAGGGCACACTTATGATACTGATAGATAATCCCATTAGCCATAACTTAGCCCTGCACGTGAGCGAATGTGAAAACATTTGTTTATTTACGATTTCTATGAAAGTTAATTAGTTATATTTGTTATTATTAAATATCCTTTAATTGTAATACCATTAAAGAACGAAGTTTTGTAACTATAACTAGATTGTTTATTTTTTCCATAATTTAATATCATATCTATTCAATCTAACTTCTGTATACGGCTTCGCTCGCATTAACGGACCAGAAGGTAGCCTATATGTTCTTAACTGCAATATCTCTGCTAAAATCATTAAGATGAAGCGTGATAATGCGTGAAGCAGTGGCAAACAAACATCCTGACAAACTGTATTTATAATATTAGTAGGATTTTATTGATTTAGATGAAACTTTGCATTTATTATATATAGTAAGTTATATTCTTTTGCATGCAACTTTTTGATTACCTTAATGAACAATACGGTATTTGACAGGTAGTAAAATTCAATACTTTTATTGAAATGTCAAAAACTATATATTTATGACGTCATCATATGTCTGCGTCAAATAGCATACTTATTTACTTAAAATTAGCGAGAAAAAATCCAAAAGTAGGTAAGTTATCAAATCAATGGATGAGAGTATGATTATTTTTTAATAATTTATTCCATTGAAAATTTGAAACAATTTATTTTAAACCTAAGAAACTTGCCAATTATCAGCGTTATAAATTGCTTTGATTTGAAACCTTAAAATTATGTGTTTAAAGACTAGTTCAGTTAATCCATTAAATAGATGGCCCAGGTCTTATAAGGATAGCACTATTTCATAACCAAAAGAGATTTGTTCTGGTGCACTTCTGTTTATTTTGATTTATATTAAATAAAATAAAACCACGAATACTATGATGAAATAATACAATTTATTCATCTTAAATAACCTTAATGACATTTATTAAAGCTTCAATATGTTACATTAGAATATTGACATTACAATTATAATAACGACTACTAATTATGTATATCAGTAAATAGTCATCCTTATACTAATTACAACATTAAGTAAGTACAAAACATTTACTAATATTAATATACATCATTCTGGTTGATGCACAATACATTCCTAATTACATACTACCTATTGCATACTACCTGACCCGGCAAACTTCATGTCGCCCAAAAACGATCCCTGAACTTTCACAAACATTTCAAGACCAAAATTAAGCCAAATCGGTTCAGCCGTTCTCGAGGTTTAGAGAGACTAACGAACGGATATTATTTTTTATCTATATTTTTATATAAGTAGATTAATGCATTAACATCTATATTTGTTTATCCATCACACATTAGTGTTAATATTATAAATAAAAAAAATAAATGATAATTAATTTTAGCACCATACAGTTTTCATATCTGACTGCTACCTAATTACATATTCATAGAAAAAAAATCGATTATAAATATTGGTGCAAAAAAATGTTTTAAATAAAGAAGTCATCGGATTAAACTAAATAATCCTATCTTCTGTTTGTGAAAACTGATAAAAGGTATGACAAAACTGTCACATATGATTCGAGGATACACTCTCATTAGACAGTAGACAAGCAAGAGATGAAAAAGACAAACAAAGATATACAAGTAAATATGTACAATACAAACTATGTATTCCACAATCTATTCCATGAGAAATGACCATTACTATCTTTGTTTGAATCTCGAAAATCTAATAACAAATTAAAATAGTCATTGTAAGGAGTTATAGGTAGATGGCCAAAACTACATATACTCATCAAAACTCAGTGCCGTAAAACGTTGGTAAAAGGACAAATAGACATCAGATCAGTACATAAACAAAATGCAAAATGTGCTATGATGATGTACCTATACAATTATTACACAATATTTAACATCTACCATACGTGTAAAGTAAACTTATTTACATATTTGGTTAATTATAAATAAAATAGATGACCTTGCGGTTTAAAAAAATCAGTAATGATGACCATGCGCGTGAGACGCTGCGATAGAACCGCCATAACCGTGACCAATCACAGGCTGGGAAATTACTGACGAATGGCCGGCAATAGAAGCAATACTGCTTATACCGCCAATTCCAATACTGCTTAATCCACCAACAGCACCAATTCCGCCAACTGCACCAATACCGCCAATTGAACCAATTCCCCCTATTGCTCCGATTCCAATTCCCCCAGCACCCCCAATTCCTCCCAAACCACCACCCACAGATACAGGTACGGCAACTGGTTGGGGAACTCCTACCGGTACAGGAGCGGGTACTCCAACGGCGTACGGTTGAGGAACAGGAATCCCTACTCCCTGGGTAACAGTTACAGGCACTGGTTGTGCATACGGGTATGGGAAAGGACGGTCTATGGGCACGGCCACAGGACGGGATATAATTTGGGCTACAGGTTGTGGTACAGGCACTGGGACGGGACGGGGTTGGTCCACAGGCACCCCAACATGGACAGGGTAAGGAACGGCACGTGGTACGCTGATAGGGATAGGTTGTGGAACTGGAATGGCGACCTTGTTGTGATACTCTGAATAAGTGTGGCGGATTGGTATCGAGCCAACGACCGCTTCACCTGGTCTGCGCTGTGAGCATGGTGTAGGCAGAGAAACAGCAGTATCTGGAAAAAGGAAGAATTTGGGAATATTTGCAAGTTTATGTACCTATGTTGCTCTTACAGTATTAGGAAACTCTTTATCTCCTATTTTCTTGCCGTCTTAAGAACGCCCTGAAGAAGGTGATATAATAAAAAATCATGTACAGATGACTTCTAAATCTCAGTGTTTTCATTTTCAGTGAAAACAATGAACGTGACGTCATACGAAAATCTTCGAAACCATTTTGTCACGAAACAATAGATATGTATTAATAATTCTACTAAAATCGCCAGTGATATCTTATCAGGTAATCGAATGTTACTTTAGTGTAATTACGCACATTATGCTGATTAGATACCTATGCACTGCGGTTTGTTCTAGAATGAATGAACTAAAATTTAAGTAAAAATGAGTCAACTAGCAACTCCCGCGCAGTCTATTGATCGTAGAGTGACGATTTATAGCCTATTTAGCCTTCCTTGAATGGTCTTTCCAACAGACGAAGAATTGGGTAGTCCTGGTCAAAATTTAATTATTTTGATTTTTCAGTCCAATTAAATATTAAAATAGTTACTTTCATTCATTGGTTTGCCGATATACTTAATTTTCGATTTATTCTAGCATTTTTCTAGCGTTGCCCCACGCTAGGATAATCTCCTGTGTCGTGGGTACATTTACAAACATAAAAGTTCACATACACATGACACCAGACCCGGAACAACATTCTGTGGATCACACAAAGAATTGTTCCGTGCGGTAATCGAACCCGCGTTGCGCGGCAGTCAGTTGTCCACCCACCGCGCCAACCGTGCACTCAAGCGGTGCAGTCAAAAAGTTTTTTTTTATATAAGTGTGTCATTTGACGCGAAAATATGATGACGTCATAAGATGGTATTTCGTACAAAATTCATAGAACAGTGTCGTTTTTGACGTTTCAAAAAAAGTATTGAATTTGACTAGTTATCACTACCGTATTATTCAATTCGGATTAGTAATTCTGGAGATTAGCTCGTTGAAATGAGGACGTAGTCAATCAGTATTGGCGTTGGTGTCTGATAATAACTGACAAATAACAGAGATATAGAGAAAACCAATTCATTTGTGGAAACTCCAAAGCCATTCCTTTCTGTCGTGTCGATATTGTTCCAATAAAATGTGAACATTTTTAAACAACGCAATAAAAACAATTATGTGTAGGTCTATATACGTACCTATCTACGACAGATATTAATTTTATATTTATCATAGAAAGTGGAACTCAATAAGCATGTATATTTATATTGCTATGAATACCAGTAGATAATTAAAAGTGAATTAAAAAAGGAAGTAGTAATGTTGACAATTTATAACAATTATGAGTTCAATATTATCGAGGTTATCTAGCGAACTTCTGATAAACCAAAAAACTACTGACCTACAATTTTTAACTGACGTCATCCGAACGCACATGTATTGAGGAATAATAAAATGCCTAAATATAATTTACGACCAAGTATCACTTTTAGGGATAAATTAGTCAATCAAGTAAAAAAACAACTAACAAACTAAACTAGGCAACAACGACTGCCTCGTTTGCCGAGTGGTCGCAAGGGTTCGATTCCCGGGTCGGGCAAAGCATTACAGGGTTTTTTTTCAAAAAATCTCAGTAGTAGTACGGAGTCTGGAATTGTGCCCGGTATATGGCAATAGGCTCACCCCTTATTACATGGGACTCATTACATAAATGGTGAAAAATGGATGTTACATTGTACAGTGGCATTAAGTGCCGTAATTTACACATCTGCTTACCCCTTCGAGAGTAAAAAGCGTGATGTTATGTTATGTTAAAAAAACTAGTAAAGTACTCTTTATAAGGTACTGGAGAAGTTACAAATGCGTTGCCAGCCTTTTTAAAAATTAGTAAATACATTATTTTCTTTTTAAAAATTAGTAAAATCAAATTAGTAAGATTGTATCGCTTTGGAATTACCTTAGGCAAAAGTTGGCAAATCTTTCATTAATAAAAAATATGAGTCGCTAAATGTGTTGCTAAGCGCAAATCTCGAGAACAGCTGAACCGATTTGGTTATTTTTTTTCTATTAGGTTTGTTATTGTTATGAGAAGATTTTTATGTAAGAAAAAATTAATGAAGATAGGCAGAAAATATTTAAACCCAAAACCAATATCGCGGTGTTTGTTAATTCTTAATTAGAGGTATATAGCGTCGGGGGTAGTGCAAATCCGCGAACCTACCATACGTAAAGGCCGCGTATCTGCAATAGATCCCGTTTTACAGGGGAAGGTTAAATTTAATGATTTTATTAA